CGTCAAATGAAAGAGTTTTGCATACAAACACTTGATTCCGATTGTCCAGTTTGTATGGCATCTATATGCTATAGTGGTCCGATATCGGCCGTTCCGACAAATGAGCAGCTTCTTTGTTAGAAAAAAACAGGTGCAAAATTTCAGATCGATAGCATAAAAACTGAGGGACTAGTTTGTATATATACAGACAGACGGACAGGGCTAAATCAACTCAGCTCATCATGCTGTTCATTTATATATATACCTATATTTTATAGGGTCTCCGACGTTTCCTTCTGGGCGTTACAAACTTCGTGGCAAACTTAATATACCCTGTTTAGGGTATAAAAAAGTTCGAAGTCGAAATGTGGTTCTATATATTTATTCGATATCGGCAACCAATATTAGAAGGAGGCTCCAAAACCACATTAAATACCAAATACAAGTCACAACTGCTAAGTAGGATCGGATAGCATATTAATGATCTTAACCTCACAAACTAAATTTATTATATTTTTTTGTCCATAAAAGAATTGAAGACCACCTCATCCTCCGTGATTGAGTGATGACAAATTATTTCAATATGATTCATTAAAGCAGAATACATATGTATATAAAAGGCGGAAGTACAATACATAACTTTTACAAAGCAACAAAACTCAAAACTAATGAAATCTATCTATTATTGTCCTGTATATAGAAAATTATATGAAAAGAATATCGATTTCAAAGTTGACAATTTCAGCAACATCTGCCACACCCTCGCGAACGAGTAATAAACACAAACATACATACGAAACTTTGAAAACAACAAAAAATATAAAAAAGCGCGGCTGCTGTAAATTTATGAATGGAAAAAATTCTGTCTGCTTTTATGAATGAATGCAACAAATTGTCCAATTGAGAAGTTCAAAGTGTCAAAGCATAAATTTACGCTAACCCGAGGCGTACCAGCGAAAAAAAGATAGAGCAACAAAAACAGATGACACAGCGCCAAAGTGTGCAAGGAGAGAAAAGCACACTCAAACAATAAATACAATAAATATTGTCCATATACCAAATAGATGAATACGGATGTGTTCACCCTGATCATGAGACGCTGCAGAGACAGGCATGTGAGTGAACTTGTTAGAGAAGTGGACACAAACAAAGACGACTCGCCATTATACCAGAGTAATTGCACCCAAATATGAAATGTGTGTTAGTCAGCAACTCGAAAAAACTAACTGGTGGATCAGCTAATTGGGTGTGCCCGCCCGCCTCTCGTCTGCTGTGCGCCACACAAATGACAATGACTAAGCGCAGTGCTAACCGCAAATGCGAAGAATTCAACAGATACACTCATACATTGTATATGGTGTATGTTTATATAAGATGAGAGATTGTATCGTATAACGTTATTTCGATCGCAACGATTTGCAGTGACGGAGGAATGTGTCTGTAACATATTTAAAGTATTATCAATTGAAATTACTCCATTAATTTTGTAAATTGAAAAATTATGCAAAAGTTTTATAGAGGAAATTTCTAAGACTTTACAAAGTGACAAATACGAACTACGAACAACCTTAAAAGTTTACTATTTTTAAGCAGATCACCTTTTTTAATAAATTTGCTTTCCTTTCTGGTTTCGATAATTTTTTTTAGCATTCCCGCCTCGTCGGGTCTGAATTTGGAGAATACGATGGAGAATCGGATGGAGCCACTGTTTGTAGCTCAATTCGACTAATTTGACCGTGGCAGCGGCGGATGTATGAGCCAGTTATCATGTTCAAAAGACACCTTCTTCTTCAAAATCGAATAATTCGGCATAGTTAACAGTATAAAACACGATGGCGATTCCCTTTCTAGTCACCATCGGGTCAATAGACGTTTCGAAAAAACTCACCAAAAAAGTGTTAATGTATACAGCATAAAAGCGATCTTTGTTTTCACTACGGCATTTCTCTTTCAAAAACAGACTTCCGACCAATATTGTCTCGTTTAATTTTCTAAAATCCGCGCACGCCGCTGCGGTCTAAACAAAACTACCAATTCGGCTGACATTTATATATTGTAATAATATACTACAATACATTATGGTCGTTTGCGATAGTGGTGCCAACGGACGTGAGGCTAAGTACTTATTGAACGGCCCTCGCACAGAGATGATGAAAAAAATTTTATAATCAGCGCCAAACCCAATTTAATTTTTTAACTTATTCTATCTCGCCTCAGTCTCTCTATAATACTAAAAATAATCTAGATTTAGAGTTATATGTATCCTTAGCACTCAAGGTAGGTTGGGATTAAATCAAAGGAAAAAATGTCATGAAGATACCTTAACAAATAAGAAAATTTTCCATACAGGGACATGAGTTTGATGAGGTTGTATGACAGCTATATCCTATAGTTGATATATAGATATTAATGGATTATAGGCAGCTTTTTGGAAAAAAGAGATCGCGTACAAAATATCAAATTCGCGTATATATAAACGGACAGACAGACGGACATGGCTAAATCGACTCAGCTTATTAAGCTGATAATTTATTTATTTACTTTATAGGGTCTCGGACGTTTTCTTCTGGGTGTTACAAACTTCGTGGCAAACTAAATATACGAGTACCTTGTTCAGCGTATAAAAGTTCAAGAAATACTCGTATATGTACCAGAAAAATATTAAAAGTGCAGACTCAGCATGCGCAATATGTATTTTACTTATGCACAATTATTAAAAATATTGTATATAATATACATATATGCATTATATACTATACATGTATACGTGTATGTACTATATATTTATATTAAATTGCTGATTTGTCGGCACAAAATTCTACG